ATTTTCGTTCAATATTGTTTGCAGTTTATCGTTCTCCACAAAATTGGTGTTCAGGTAGGATGTATTGGTATCGGTGAAGAAAGTGTCGGATGCAATCAACATGAAATTGAATTATACGCAAAGGTTTGTCAATTGATGTTTGTTGTTTTGAATTTTCGATTTATTAATCGTTGTTTTTACAACTTAATTTTCGTTCAATATTGTTTGCAGTTTATCGTTCTCCATAAAATTGGTGTTCAAGTATGATGTATTGGTATCGTTGAAGAAAGTGTCGGATGCAATCAACATGAAATTGAATTATACGCAAAGGGTTGTCAATTGATGTTTGTTGTTTTGAATTTTTGATTTATTAATTGTCGTTTTTACAACTTAATTTTCGTTCAATATTGTTTGCAGTTTATCGTTCTCCACAAAATTGGTGTTCAAGTATGATGTATTGGTGTCGATGAAGAAAGTGTCGGATGCAATCAACATGAAATTGAATTATACGCAAAGGGTTGTCAATTGATGTTTGTTGTTTTGAATTTTTGATTTATTAATTGTCGTTTTTACAACTTAATTTTCGTTCAATATTGTTTGCAGTTTATCGTTATCCACAAAATTGGTGTTCATGTATGATGTATTGGTATCGATGAAGGAAGTGTCGGATGCAATCAACATGAAATTGAATTATACGCAAAGGGTTGTCAATTGATGTTTGTTGTTTTGAATTTTCGATTTATTAATTGTCGTTTTTACAACTTAATTTCCGTTCAATATTGTTTGCAGTTTATCGTTCTCCACAAAATTGGTGTTCAGGTATGATGTATTGTGTTTGCTCTCCTGAATTTAAAACACGTCGTGGTAGACCAAAGAAGAAGAGGATACCGTCTATTGGCGAGAAGATAAAGAGGAAAATAAGATGCGAGAGATGTAAAGAACTCGGTAAACACAACAAGATGTCTTGTACAAATCCGATGTATTCTTAGGGGTGATGCTTTTTGGTTATGCTTTTTATGTTTCATTTAAGAACTTGTGCTATCATTTTCAAGCTACTATTTTTGAATTTTTTTTTTGTTTATTTTTTATTAGCTTATGTTGATGTTTTCCCATTTATAATGAAATGAACAATTTAGCAAATGGTAAATTTTGATTAGCTTAGTTTTATGTTTTGATTAGCTTATGTTCATGTTTTACCATTTAGCAAATGGTAAATTTACTACAGACAACAAACACGAAGTTATTCAACAAATACATACCTCCATCTTTTATGTTGTAAACAGCAAACACCAAAAAGCAAATAACAAACTATAAACTTTTACAACGTTCAGTGAAACTGCCGACTTTGTTTGGTTCATTACATCGCTCGTTGCACTAGTTAGCAAACAATATGCGTAAAACACAGCGCATAATATTATACTTTAAGGAGCAAACGTGTAAAACTAGTAATTGTCTTATTTTTAAACTGTCCTCTTAATAATTAGCGAAAATTGAAATTGCAAACATAAAAAAAAGTAACATAAACAACGAGAAAAGTACGTCAACTAAGTTCAGGTACCAAAATAGCAACAATTAGTAGAGTACGTCAAATTATAGGATAATACAAGGATGTTTTACCAACTGCAAAATTATAATTGTATCAAAATGCAACCGAACTAAATATCCAAAATAGCAAGAGTTCAAGGTAGTTTCCAAAATCTGATCATTATGCGCTAATCTAACTTCACAGTGTGTTCATCGTTTAAGAATTGATGAACAAAGTCACTTCGTAATGCGCATACCCCATTTTGTGCATCTTTAATGTCTAAGGGTTGTCGGCGACAAAATTGTCGTGCGATATAAAGGACGAACATCCCGCAATCAACTGAATCAGGCTTTTGTTGTGGTGATGTCAAAACGGAAACTAATTTGGCATTTGACTTAATACCAAATTTCATCTTCCCATTTGCAACCTGCATGAAACTCTTCATTTATTTGGCATCAACCAAGAATGGATCTTCTTTTCCGTCCAATCTTCTAGGCAATGAGGAGTTGAAATGCTCCCACGAGCAGTTAATCCTATCATAAACAAGTAGAGTCCAGTGGGGTATTATGTTCATGGGACCTTCACCTGAGTTTAACGGGAAAAGTAAGTAACGGAAATTGGTCACATCCCTTCCCGTCATGAAGTGTTGTACAATTTGAGTTGGTTTCATAGTTTTTCGTATAACTCCCTGAAAAAACATAAGATATTACTTACATTACCAATTTCGTGTTTAAACTTATAAACAAGATTAGATTATATATACCAGAAGCAAGCTGGGGAATATCAGACTATTCCCCATACGTGTGGGGTCTACGCCGCTTGCAACATGCTCTTCATCTTGTTGTTTCATCAAAAGGTACGCACAAGAGTCCATTATCTGCTTATGCCATAATAACCAACCATTTCGAATAAAAAAATAAATCAACATGCAAAATATGAGAAAATATCTAAATGTACGTACAAATATACGGTATGCAAATGTTAACTACAATTTAAATGTACAAACATTATATAACAGACTGCATAACATACTGCAAACACCAAACTACAAAAACATATTGCAAAAAACCAACATGACAAGTACCACAAATATAAAATGTAAACATCACAATAGACACACTAAACTTAAATAACAAAAGACAAATATTCATGTCTAAAGTGCAAACCACAGTTAATAACAAATTGGAAACACCTAACTCAAAACATCCAACTTAGTTAACTGATTACCCAAATGAAAAATAAAATGTGCAAACAACAAATTGTAAAATGTGCAAACAGCAAATAGTTCACGTTTTGTTTTAGAATAAACATAACCAAAGTTGTAACATAAACAAACCCTTCAATTTTTTTACCTGATTTCGGGGATTGGAAATCATCATCCTCCTTTGCTGTTAAGGGGAAAAGAGGGGTTCTCAAATTATTATTGAAATATTTGGAATAAATAGCAAACAAACAAAATACAAAAGCAAAAAAGGAACAAAATACAAAATTTGAGATGAAAGAAAAAAAATCAAAAGCGAAAACCGAACATGCAAAAAATTTTTTACACAAAGGATCATAGATTACCAAGACTTAATCGTGTTTTGGCCATCGTATGAACTCCAAACAACAAACCCTAAACACCAGCCGTTGATTCCGAGGGCAAAATGCAAACAAACAATTTGTAAACTGCAAACAGAACGAAGTCAAATTGGGCAACAACAAATCGAACGAAGGCAAACGGAATAAAGGCAAAATGCTCAGACCTGGTAATTTGTAAACAGCAAACGAAACAAATGCAAATAGTGAACAACAAATTTGTAAACAACAAACGAAACAAATGCAAATATTGAACAGCAAATCGAACAAAGACAAAATGCAAACTTTCGGTAAAACTGCAAACAATCAAACACCCAAAACCTATGGAAGGATTCAAAATTCGTGGTGAGATTTTCGCTTTGAAGCAACAGCGAAGAAATCGATTTCCATATTTTTGCAATTGGAATTTTCGAAACAACAAACCCTGTAAACAGCAAACGAAACAAATGCAGATATGAAACAACACATTTGTAAACAACAAACGATGCAAACGACATGTTAAAACTGCAAACGACCAAACACCCAAAACCTTTGGAAGGATTCAAAATTCGTGGTGAGATTTTCGATTTGAAGAAACAGGGGACAAATCAAAATGCAAACGACCTGTTAAAAATGCAAACGACCGAACACCCAAAACCTTTGGAAGGATTCAAAATTCGTGGTGAAATTTTCGATTTAAAGAAACAGGGGACAAATCAAATTCCAGATTTTTGCAATTGGAATTTCGAAACAACAAACCCTGTAAAACAGCAAACGAAACAAATGCAAATAATGAGCAACAAATTTGTAAACAACAAACGAAACAAATGCAAAAATTGAACAGCAAATCGAAAACGAAGACAAAATGCAAACGACCTGGTAAAACTGCAAACGACAAAACACCCAAAACCATTAGAAGGATTTAAACTTCGTGGTGAGATTTTCGATTTGAAGAAACAGTGGAGAAATCGAATTCCAGATTTTGCAATTGGAAATTTCGGATTTGCAGTATAATAGGGAGAGAAATGGGGGATTTGATTTTGAAGATATATTTTACCGTATATTACTAGGGATATTGATAGGGGTACTTTTGACAAATTATAAATACAAAAATTTGCTGGAAATTAGAGTTTATTAGATGGATTTTAACACATATAATCTCTTATAGGAGGACCTATAGCAAATAACCCCTTAAAATAAAACAGGGGTATTAAAGGAAAATTATATAATATATTTTGCCAAGTTGGCAAAATTGGGTCTATTTCAAAAAGGGAAAAAAAATTGGATCTACCTCATTAGAAAATATGAACAAGGGGTTATTCCTAATAAACCCATTATTCTATTCACTGTTAACTTGTAATAAATATTTCATCAACTACAAAACTGTCATTGTTATTTTAATAAGGACATTTGCCCCTGCCCCTAGCAAAATATAATTTCATGCACTTAAAACTAGGGTTGGAATTGGGTTGGGTTGATCGATTATCATCCTAAAAACCGACCCATACGACTAACCAATTTTGCTTAAATTTGAAAACTGTTGCCGACCCAACCTTTGTGGGTCGGTTGATGGTTGGCAACCAAATATTTAGTTCCGGAATGTGTGGGTTGATGTGTTATACCCACCAGCTAGTTCACTTAAAAAAAATTCAAATTTTCGAGTAAAAGTACACACATTATGGGTAATGCCACTTCCCAATCGTCATTTATCAGTTCAAATAATTAATAGCAATTTGAAAAAAAATATATAATTAAGAAATTCAAAGTAATTAAGAAAACACATCTTTTATTTTATATTTTTTGATAAAATTTTAATAATTTAGTTGGTTGACTGATAATTATCGGTCAATCAATTATCGGTCAACCAACTTTGATAATATCAGAAACCACCAACCGATCCATTATAGTTGGGTTGGTTAAAATTTTCGACCCGATTCAATGTGTCGGTTAAAAAATTATTATCCGTCTAAAAATATGATCGGTAATGAATCGGTTCGTGGATAAAAACAAACTCAGCCCCAACCCCAGCCCCAGCCCCAGCCCTACTGAAAACTGATATATAGGAAAAATAACTAGTCTAACACGCATTTGCTCATAACATCATGCACACAAGCATGAAAAAATAAATGATACAACAATGAATAAATACCTATTTTCTTCATACTATACTATAGAAGAGCTAGAAAACTCAGAAGATTGAGCTAGTAGGCTTTGTGATGGAGTGCCGGACTCGAATTGATTTGAATTAAACTCATCGTGAGGGAATGACGCTCCTGAAAAGTAAAATCCGGGCTCCTTTGGAATAGGTAGCGTTATCGTGGAACTATTGAGCATTACAACAACTGAAGCCATTGTTGGTCTGTCAGCCGCCTCTTGTTGAACACACAACAAAGCAATGTGAATACATCTCATCATATCTGGTTGGGGCCCACAAGTTTCCCTCAAATTCGGATCAATCATATTCGCAGTCGTCCCCTCCCGCCAACTTCTCCAAGCCTAGTGAAAAGAAAAAAAATATCATTTGTTAATATAATATTTGTGTTCAGATTAGAGACACTGGCTTAAGTAATTTCTCACAAGTATGAGTACTTACACAACTCAAAAGATCTCCTAACTTCTCTCCATTTTGGGTAAATATTTTTCTCTGGCCAGTTATTATCTCCAGAACTATGACACCGAAGCTAAATACGTCTGACTTGACGGAGAAGAGACCGTAACTTGCGTACTCTGGTGCCATATATCCACTGCAATATATATTCGTACCATGATTACTAATTGAGAAGTATACGGTGTCTGAACAAATTAAAGAGCGTATTCCTCGAATATATATAATGTATAAAGGCTTAAGGTAAGACTTACTAGGTTCCAACGATTCTGTTGGTATTTTGCATAGTTGCTTCTGGCAAGACTAATTTTGCCATACCAAAATCTGCAATTTTAGGATTCATATTTTCATCAAGAAGGACATTGCTTGCCTTGAGATCACGATGAATAATCATGAGCCTGGAATCTTCATGCAAATATAGAACTCCCTTAGCGATGCCTATTATACTTCTATATCGACTATCCCAATCCAATCTCGAGGACTTGGTCCGATCTACATGTCGAATAATCAAGGTATATGTCATTAGTTATTGCGTATGATGGTACTTCCATGCAGTAGTAAAATAAAATAAAAAATCGATAAAAATAAAAAGTAATATTTTACCAAATAAAATTTGGTCTAGACTTCCATTCGGGACGAACTCATATATAAGAAGACGTTCAATTCCTTGAATGGAGAAACCCAAAAGCCGAACCAAATTCCTATGTTGGAGCTTAGCTAGTAACAAGACCTCGTTCTTGAATTCAAGATCACCTTGACCCGAATCCTTCGACAATCTTTTCACTGCTATTTCTTGCCCATTTACCAGTTTTCCCTGAGATTAATCATAACTCGTTTAAAAAAAAGAAAAATATTTTATTTACTCATAATAGTGATGTTCAATGTATACCATATAAACTGCTCCGAAGCCACCTTGGCCAAGTTTGTTATCATCAGAGAAATTATTTGTTGCTGCTTTGATTTTGCCAAAATCATGTTGTATGGATTCAGTGGAACTGATCTCACCGGAAACTTCACCGGTAAAAGAGAATAATAATTCAGTTTAGTAAATTTGGAAAGAAAAGCCAAAACATGAAAAATGTGGAGATAAAAAAATAAACTTACAGTCAGGATTGATCAATTCGGTTGTCTTGCGTTTCATTCTCTTCCTGACAAAGATGCCAACACCAAGAACCAGGAATACGAAGGCAACAACGGAAACAACAATGATAATGATAATACTGGTATTCTTTTTGCCTGCAAAAATAAGTGAAAAAGAACATAATTTGTTAATTCATAATTGTAATAGATTCAATCAAGGTGGTTTCATTTTGGAAGAGTTCTATGATATATGTTTCATTTTGAATTGTAATAAACTCGAACGGGTGCAGTGCTTCATAGATCACATCACTCGCACCTAGGTGCCACTTCCAATTCCGATTCCAAGATTTTTGGCATCTGCAAATTCATTCAAGTCCAAAAATTTCGGAAAATCCGTAAATCACACAACTTTTGAAATTTCGGGTTTTAATT